CAGCCTCTCTCCGCCAATTTTCCCTCTCGTTGAGGAACATAGGTAACCTCGAAGATCACGAGGTTTTCGCGAGAAACTCCCTCAAACATTCATGCATGCAAATTTTCGCCTCTCGTGTGGCCGTCTAGCATCTCTAACCGACGACCGTTGAACATGAATGAAGCATCGCTCCAATAAAACGTTGCAGACGCGAATATCCTCGTTGAAGCGTCGGCAGTTTTAATTTGTTCACCTAATCCCCACCTAACGCGTATGCAGAAAACGTGACTTCGATGTCCATTTCGAAATAAACGTATACCTGGAATAAATGAAAAATCTTCATTAAAGAAAAATTTTATATAAACATCGTAACAATGTCCGTAAATTTTTCATATTTGCACTGCTTTTTAAAAAATTTGTTATATTTTTTCATGTTACGGNCTTCGCAAAAGTGAGAACACCGAATTTATTTAGAATTTGTAAAGTTTTTATTGTAAAACTTGCTGCAATAATATAACTTATTCAAGCGTTTTCCACGAAAGGGTCTCGGAACTTCGCAGAATTGCAAAATAAAAAAGCGGTCGCTTTGACCGCGGTAGGTTCATTATTATTTTATATTTCACCTATATTAAGACGCTGTTCCTTACGTTTAAATGTCTTGTGCGATTTTGACGATCTTCCAAGATGACTGGCTGCATATTATTTTCCGTGATCGACTTACGTTCTTTCACTTGCCAGAGAGTTCTTTGTCATGATCTCAGGATGTACGACGTTATTCGCATTTACCATACGTTCCGTAACATTAAGATGCCGAGAGCTTTAAATCTACTGTACAGACGTTTCTAAAGCTGCTCGAAAAAAAGAAACCGGCTGAGCGAGCTCGACGCAACAGGGGGGCGACACGTGGAGCCATTTTACAATCCGGCGGCCGAGTGACATGCGAAATCTTTCGCTGTTCACGAACCGCAACGTCCAACTTTCCCCGTCGTTTGTTCCCAAGTGACAAATCGTCGGATTACAGCCTCTCTCCGCCAATTTTCCCTCTCGTTGAGGAACATAGGTAACCTCGAAGATCACGAGGTTTTCGCGAGAAACTCCCTCAAACATTCATGCATGCAAATTTTCGCCTCTCGTGTGGCCGTCTAGCATCTCTAACCGACGACCGTTGAACATGAATGAAGCATCGCTCCAATAAAACGTTGCAGACGCGAATATCCTCGTTGAAGCGTCGGCAGTTTTAATTTGTTCACCTAATCCCCACCTAACGCGTATGCAGAAAACGTGACTTCGATGTCCATTTCGAAATAAACGTATACCTGGAATAAATGAAAAATCTTCATTAAAGAAAAATTTTATATAAACATCGTAACAATGTCCGTAAATTTTTCATATTTGCACTGCTTTTTAAAAAATTTGTTATATTTTTTCATGTTACGGCGTTTCTCAGATTTGCGTCTCTGATGAAAGGTATTTCTTTCAAGAAAAGAGAAGTCCTTCAAGAGAAAAGTTTTTAATGAAGTCGGAAAATTGATAATCCGTAGTTAGATTGTTTTCTATAATTATATAATTAAAAATAACATAATTTAATAAAGTTTAATACAATTTAACCTTACATTTTATAAATATAAAGTAACTATAAAATATATAGTAATATAGTATAAATATAAAGTAAATATAAAGTAAAGTACATATCATTGGAACCTATTTTATAATATAATGATTTTAAGTTTATTACATTAAAGAATACAATAATTACTTTAAAAAAAATGAAAACAGGATAAAAATTAATTTTGCGGAATTCGATAAATTTGATTCCAATAATGGTGTAATTAAAAAAGTTATACGAGCCTAATGTACACTGTGGGTCACGTAGACCCGAAACACCCTGGAAATGTTAAAGGTGATATCGGAGAATCAGCAATGCCAGTGGTCCACGACCTACGACGTCTGCTGATTATGGAGAATTTCTCGTTTGCACATTTCCGCGTCAATGTGCACACAGCGCAGCTTGGAGAACGCAAACACTAACTCGGTCACAGATCGCACCGTATTTTGCACGTGCTGGAGGTTGCTGGACCAAAGCGTGAAAGTGCTCAGGTGCGACACAGGATTAACATTAATGTACCAGTTCAGTTGGTGTTCGATATAATTGACGCGAGAGGACTCTATACGTTCGAATTGATTTTCGAGCCAACTATTACTGCGGGAGTCCGTTGATTGCAGTTTCCGATTCTACGGTGACTTTACCGCACGATAACAAATAATATGTCGTTAAAATTGTCGAAGGAAACGCTAATAGATTCTAAATAAAAAAATATACCGATCCATTTTTATCTTTATACCATATTTTGTATTCTGTTCGTCACATTAATCTCTGCTGCATATTTTAAGCAGCTTTTAGTGTGGGCTTTTAACACGAAGCTTTGTGTACACGGAGGCAGTCTATGTAAAGGAACCGTCAAATATTCCTCGACCATCTTTAGCCACTTTAGCAAAATAATAATAAAGATTTCAATTTCTTTCCAATAGATATATATATTTCATATCTTTCATTGTTAAGTATAATGGAGAAATTGAAAAGGTACAATACATGTGGATTAAATTCATTTAGGATGCGGGACTTCTAAAAATTATAAGAAACTATAATCAAGTTCCACCCCCGAAAGTTCCGAATCTCATATTCGGAATCTCGGATTCCAGCGTCACCGATAGCGTTTGATGATCCTTGTAACTACACTTGCAAAGAATACATTTCACGCAGAGGACAGTTAAGCGTGTTCTGAGCCTCGCAAAGCCAACGGGCTTAAGTCGATATTTCTAGGTGAAATAGGGGGAGGAGACGGAGGGTTCGACGGCATCGAGACTTTAAGAACCTTGGCTTCCGCTGTTTTATTCTTCTAGTATTTTCGTGTTATCTATTACCGGGTTGCTGACTGTTTGTTCAACGGTACCGATATCGGTATCGTGACCGTCCGAATAATTCGGCTTGCGTGTACGAGGTTGAACGAGACTCTCTCCATTCTCCTTCTTTTTCAATTGAAACGCTAGAGCGCAGCGGAGGCGAACCGTATTTCACCTAGATGGAATGTAATCTCGACATTCGGCATGCAAAATATGAGAAGCATCCGATAAAAAGAATGGGAACGACAGAGTAATAAAAGTGGCACGCACGTCCCAGCTGATTCCAAACGAAAACCTGCGAAAACCGAGAAAAATGTCCTACTATTATTTTGTTTTTTTATTCCCGCGCCTGTGAAAATAATAAACCGAGCTTTTTTATAGCGGCAGAGAAAATCTGAAACGCGCTGCACGGAATTAATTAACGAAAATCGTTAAATTCTTTCGGTTGATCATGTTTCCGAACAATTTCGGGGTCTTTCAATTTTCATAGAGGTTAGCGCGTTTCGTTGAAGCTAATACAATATGTCGTGAATCGTGGCGGAACAATGAAACTTGGCTTGTAAGAATTGCTTCGAGCGCAAAGGGTTAACTTCAATGTATAAACACTAACGATAGAAAGCTAGGATTTTAATTCGGTTTAAAAGACGCGAATAAAGTTCATATTAAGCGGACCATGTTCAAAATCTTCGTAACAAGGACATGATAATAAATGCCGAAAGTCAACACCAAAAATTTCCATAAAATCTAAATAATTTGATTAACGGAAAACTTAACAGAGGATCTGGAAAGTTAAAGTCGCTCGTATAGTAATGAATTTTCTGTTGTTTCAAATGAATTTTAATGTGACAGAAATATGTTAAGAGGCTATTTGGATAACGCCCGTTGGAAGTCTTCACTTTTGATAAAACGTTTTGAATTTTTCGGATGAGGAAGACTACAATATAGGTTACAAAGCAGATAGGTCGCTCTTTGAAGTATGAGAGGCAAAGGCAGTATTGCGCTTATCATTCCAGTCAACAGAAAGAAGAGAATGGAAAGGTGAAGCGGAACACAGGCAGTTGACGGAAATCGGAAATCGCAGCGAATCGGAAAACACTGACACGCCTCGCCACCTTTCTGACGAGGACGCGACCCGTCCAATGAATAACGCGTCACCTTGTGTGTGAGAACAGAAAAAACGGCAAACAATGATAGTTGGCAGATGATAATATGAGAACGAAAAAAAATACCTTCGCACGAAAAGAGGCTGCGTTGGATGAGCAATCACGCTAAAAATATTGTGCAGCCAAAATGAATCTAATTTTTTATTATCAGACGATATTTGTTGAAATTATTGACGACTCTTGTACAATATACGTGTAAATATATTTATTTATTTCTGTATTTATTACAGACGCGTCGATGTGCTTTTCGGCGGTCATAAAATAAAAGATTTTAAATTATTGATTTTATTATTACTTTGTGAGATACGATAAAGAGATGGTTTTCAGGGATGCGAACGAGATTCTTACGAATTTCTGCGTGTGAAAAGAGGCACGACTTGAAATTCTGCCAGTTGCTATTCAACTAACATTAATAAGTTCGAAACTTTTGACTTTCGTGCTCAAATCTGTTCGTATACCCTTCCTAGACTGCTGTGTACACACTACAAACTTTTAATTTGGAAACTTGTAGTCTAATAAAGAATGGCGAACTCCGACTGAAGTTACTTTCGTGCGAGATTTCATACGTCAAGAAAAATAGCATGAAGATCAGTGACCTACTAAAATCGTTGGTATCGGTAACCTTGTATTGGGTAACGTGGATGCGAAATTTGTCGAATAGAAAACTGGTCCTGCGAGACTTTTAGTTTTTTTTAGTAGAAATTCATAACTCGACCGCGGATTTTATGCGATTGTGTCAAAAATGAATTAACCGAACAGGAAACATTTAAAGGATGTTAATATATTATTGCACAGTGAATTCTCCAAAATTGTTCCTCAGCTTCTAAACAAAAATGGAGAATTTGGGAAGAACAGATTATTATTATCTTATAATAATCAGTATCAAGATTATTATTTTATTTCTTTTCAAATAGTTTTTATTAACATTTTGTATACATTATTTATCTCCTATTTATAAATACAATGCAAAAATAGATTATTTTATTTTAATTTCGTTATACCGATATAGATTTTGCATGCTCCGAAATAATAACAAAACGCTATCAATTAACTCGGCCCGTGCTCGGTTCGTCGATAAGCATAAACGAACCTTGACCGGTTAATCAATATCTTGTTGCGATGAATTCTATGTCGTTCATAACACTATCGGTGTAACTTGCATCAGCAGTTTCATAAGGTAATTTCCAGCAAAAGGGTGAAAACAATGTAGCATTAATTGAACGTTTATTAAACGACGCGACGACTTTCCGGCAACGTTAAAGTCTGCGGAAACTGTTCTACTAAATATCGAATTTCCTGGACACGAAAGTCCATAGATTCCCTGTGGCCTCCATTAGAGAACTTTGGGCGTTGTTCGTCGTTATTTAATTTGTCTTAAATCAGAAGGGACCACGAAGTTAACGTCGCCCAGGAGTCTGTTCAGTCGGAGCCAGTTCCTAGCTTCATGGTTCTTGCAGTCGCATGAAGAAGGACGACTAACCTCGATGAACGTCGTCAAGGTGGGTGAAAATTGCCGTGTAACCTGGCAACTCGATGCACATTATTGGCGAATCGCCAAATTCCATCCCGGCTACATAGAATCATCCAATCCACGATCCCGTTTGGTCGGGGACTCGGTTTTCCTCTTCTTTTCGTGCGGCATTATTTCGTTACTAGTCGCTCGGCCGTGTACCCGGCGAAACTTTCGTTGAATATTATCGGAAGAACTTTACGTGAAACTTTTTATTACGCACTTTGTAGAAAGAACTTTTCATCGGGTCCTTTGTGCGATGCTTAATTTAACCGCCTAATAAAAAGATATTAGAATGTGTAAAAAGGATTCCGCTTCGTTACGATTTAAATGTGATATCAAAATCTGTTTCCGTGAACGAATGAACATATATTTTCATATTTCTGGCTTAATATTCGGACACGATATTGTTAGAAGTTGAAAGAAATGAAATTTGAAATGTTTAATTCTATATTTACTTTACGCCACAGCATTTGTTCGACCGTCGGATCCGTAAAGATTAAATTTGCTTTCATCCGAAACATCGAATGAAAGATCTCTAAAACATTTGCGATTACAACACGTTACACACTCGTACGTACAGATCTTTTTTCTACACTATAATATAGTATATTTCAGAATAGAGGAAACGAAAGAATGATGAGTCGGAAATTATCTCGTCGAGGACTTTCTCGTGCGATTTTGTATTCCGGAGTCGGGAGTTTCGGCTTTTGCTGACCGAGGTTAAGACAGCTGGTTCTGAGAGATCATTTCAAGGAGAACGGCGCAGAGAAATGCAAGAAGAGACTTAACCGGAACAACCGGGCTCTTATTCGGAAAAGGTGGCAGTGACATCATCTATCGACTTACCTGTCGAGGATACCAAACTTCTCGATGTCGTCCGACGAACTTCTACCAGAAATTATCCCAACGGTATCGAACTTTTTCCGCCTCCATTTTCTGCTCTAAAGACTCCGGGAACTTCATTATTTCCATCAAGGCTGCAACTTCTGTCAGTCGTCTCCAATTCTTTTCTGCACTTGTTAAAACATTTGCGCAAGGAAATCGAGCTCGCGAACTTTGATCATAACGAGCGTCTCGCCGTAAAATTGAAGAGGATCGTCGTTTGGACGTTTCATTCGATCGATGGTGTAACCAAATTCAAGTCTCGACGCACGTTATCAGCGTAATACAGCTCTCCTTAGTTAAATTGTCTTAGTTAACATTTTCGATCGTCCAAAAAATAAAGCTTTAAATTAATAACATCCATTTTAAATAACCAAATAGATGGAATTGCGTTTGGAACTAAATATTTTCAAATATCCAGAAAAGTTGTAAATTAGTAAATAAGCCAATTTAACTAATTGATTTCGAGGAAACAATTGAACGTCGTTATTTATTTACTTCGTGTTATCGATTGAACGCAACAAATTCTAGAAATGCAAACAGTCAAGTTTATACGAACCTTGTGCAAATACTTTTGTTGTCTTAAAAACGTATAATAAATACGAAACATGCCGCATAGCTGGAAACGTAGCCATTCGTAAAGTCACGTGTAATGTCGGGCAACGTTGTCCGTAGAATCTCGTTGTATCCAGCGCTAAATCATCGGTAAGATTGTCAATCAGCAGCGGTGCCGTGTTAATCCGTCTTTTATGCGGCCGCGGAATCGTAAACCGATGAAATCGCATCGATCGATGCTCGAAGAACCTAGGAATTCATGTCGTACCGATCTCAATGCTGTTACTGGTCCCCGCTGTACATTTCGATGCACGTTATATCGACAGATGCGACAGGGGGCGGCGGGATAGCGCGACGGTTATCTCATCGGCGGATCGAGCCAAGAGGCCAAGGTTAGCTTTATTTCGAACGCGGGCACCAGCTTCTGGTATCGTGCCCGCGCCAATGGTCCGGCCGCATTTCCGCCAACGTCGCGTTCCATTCTCGACGAGTGGAAAAAATGCAAACCGAGCTGTCGCGACGCTCGACAACTATTAAGCCCCCAACCGCAAATAGCCGATTCGAGTTTCAGATTTTCGAAAGGTTTGTTACACGATCCCAATCTATTCTGTTCCGATTGTTAGCCGATATTTACGGGCTGATTCCATTTAGAATGCATACAAAATTCTAATCTATGCAAGTAAGGTTACACATCGCGACGAGAAGATAGCGAACTACAGGGTGTCCCAAACATGTCTCGCAATCCGAAAGTAGGGGATTCCTAAGGTCGTGTGAAGCAACTTTTTCCTTAACGAAAATGCAATCCGCGGCTTCGTTTACGAGTTATTAACGAAAAACAGTGACCAATGGGAGGCGAGCTCGCTTGGCGCGAGACGGCCGAGCCAATGAGCGGAACTGGGCTTCGTGCGCTGGTTGGCTGGGCCGCCTCGCGTCAGCCGTACTCGATTCTTATTGGTCACTGTTTTTCGTTGATAACTCGTTAACGGTGCCTCGGAGAACATTTTTGTAAAAGAAGGAGCTGCTTCAAGTGATCCGAGGAACCCGCCATTTCCGGATTGCGAGACATTTTTGGGACATCCTGTAGATAACAATGTGCTCGAATTGCGAAGAAAAGCAATGAGAAAACCTACGATTCTCCGTGAGATGGGGAAGTCCGGGGATGCGTATATAGACATTTCGTACACAGACAATTACTTTTTCACATAGAAAACATTAGAATTCTTGCTAGATTTCCAATCTCAGAGCATATTACATGATTGAGCATATTTTGTAACACAAAAAACCAGATTATACTCTCCAGGAATAAAGGAAGATATTTTAGCCTGTAATTATTCATCGGGAGACGATAATCACAATTCGTGCTATGAATATTTTATCGATTATAAATTCATGAAGCGATACTCGTTTATAAAGTAACCGTGCACATTGTTACGGACAGAAAGTTTGTGTTACATTGGAAAGTTACCGTGACTATAAAATAAAATTGAAAATTAAATTACAATAAAGTCAATCAAAACATGAAATACTGAACAGTTAACAATAGTTACGTGTTGTACTAAATGATATCGTATGCTCGTTCCACCATGATACTTGGAACTTTCCAAACAGTCGTTACGTGTTCAGAACAGAAATAATAACGTTATGAATGCTTCAATAAGTGTCATCCCATATGGGACTACTATTACGAGGTCGCTCTTTAACGAACTATTAATTTTCCCTGAATGAGCGGTAAAGTTAAATGTACTAAATCCAATTCGAGGTGAAACAGACCAATTACAACTGCTAAAGCGATGGGCTTCCTTTATACAGAGCGTGAGCACGTGTCTACATGCTGAAATATTATATGTTAATAGTTTAGTTAAACTCGTTAATTGGTCCAGCTGTTATGTTTCGCACTTAACAGGATGTTCGAAACTTGAAGTACGAACTGAAGAACTGTTTTGAGGTCGTATATTGACGTTCATTGCAGCTACTCACTGTTCTCAATGTCGCTGCCGAGCATAATTTCCACAGAAGGTTACAGTTGAAACGGGAAATTGTAACACGTATTTGAAGAACGTCGTTTTACATTTCTAATTTTAATAAATAAATAATTAATTGAACTTAAATTAAGAAATTTAATATATCTTAATGTAATAAATATCAAGTTAATTATGGTGGGAAATAAATTAAAGGCACAGTAATTGGCTACTCCACAGTAATTAGTTACATTATCCTATAATACGTCAAATGTAGACAAAAGGTCGATAGAAAAATCAACAGTCGACTTAATCAACTACAAATCTACTAGAACAAATTTTAACGACAACTGAACAAACATTTAGAGCACTATCTTCATATATTACGTTCGATAGAGGGTGTCCCATAACTATGTTAACACCCAAAAAAAAGAGTGATTCCCGAAGTCATTTGAAGTAACTTTTTCCTTAGCGAAAATGCAATCCACGAGTTATTAACGAAAGACAGTGACCAATGAGAGGCGAGCGAAATTGGGTTTCGACCGCTCATTGGCTCGGCCGCCTCGCGCCAGCAGATCTCGCCTCTCGTTGGTCACTGTCTTTCATTAATAACTCGTGGATCACATTTTCGCAAGAAAAAGTTACTTCGAATGACCTCAGGAATCACTCCTTTCCGGGTGTTAACATAATTATAGGACACCCTGTAGATACACAGTGTACCGATTATTTTCAATCCTAACTTTCAGTACATAACATTATCGATAATATCTATCTTCGATCATCGATACATTAATCAGTAGACTGCACGAGCATATACCAGTCTCGTTTTACTGACTTTCTATAAAATGCAGTTAAGGCGAGTCTCGCTCCCCATAGTAATAACTTTGGTACGTAAAACTGTATTGAGTATCACTAAATTTTTCATCGTTTTTGAAATATTTTATAAGCTATAAACGCATAAATCCGGGATAGTTCAACCACTTTTTGGAAAGAAATCATAGCGTCGTCTTTCAGATATTTCTTATTTTCGAAAAATTAAAGCGGTCTCCGATAAATTGAAATATGTATAAATTAATGTTCATCGAGATTTTCTTTGGTTGATTTTTAATGCAAGAAATGTTCAAAATGTTGTCTAATACAATTAACGCAAGCATACAGATGATTAAGCAATGCGACTGATTAAGTGTTTCATATATTTTGTCAAGTGGCCTTTGCGTGGAATCGCGGTCGCAATAATCCGGTTAAGGGTTAATAAATCTAAACCAAATATCCTACATTAATTACACCAGGTATTTGGGTGAAACCTCATTGAATACTTTGTCCTGAAACACGCGGACCACAAACGCACCGCATTTATGTACACTTACGCTACGCGTTCTACGATTCGGCTTCACCACTATGATGGACATCTCCATAATTCACGTAGTTCCGCAACCTACCTAATGACCTTCTGGATCTCTGTTCCTGCACAGCAAACTTTGGACCAAAGTGAAACGTGACACTGACAATGAACGCGTTTCGGTCATTGTTTAATGTTGTCCCTGGTTCAAAAAGCAATCAATGCTATGAATTCGTATGCAAGAGACTGGCTATATTTGCGGTAACAGCAAACTTAGTTCATTACCAATTCCCAGACACCGCATTTACTACATAAATTGTTTAAAATGCCGGTTCGATCCAAAATTCTGTACAATACAAAATTCGAAAAGTGTCTACACAATTAAAAGGTCGTCAGAAATCCTTCAATAGGAATAAAAAGGAACGATTTGCCAGGTCAGGGCGTAGCCCCAAAATGCCACGCCTACTGACCCCATAACTTCGTTTCTGATGCAAGCCACGCGAAGTGGTGCGCAACAATTCTAAATATCTAAACAAAAAAGATCAATAATAAAGAAATATTGAAACACCATAAATTGTGATTACTAATGTTCTGACGGGAAACATGTCATCGTATAACAATTACCAAAGAAATATCTAGGACGATTTGATGTGCCCAGTGATTGCACATTATTTTGGAAAAAAAAATGAGAAAAATTGAAATATGCTTGAAGCAAACAAATGTAGTCGAAAACAAATGGCACCGAACCCCAGTCAATCAAATGTAGTAACAATTGGCAATACGCGACACATTATGGATTCGCGTGCAAACAAATTGCATTTCGACGGAGTTCGCGTTCATATTGTCTCCAGAAGCAATTATCCGGAGAATGAATCGTATCGAGTGTATTTTTTTCATTTCGTATTGGTTCATGTTCAATTACTGTTCTTACCACACCTCGCCCAGTACATTGGCTATATTCTCAGGATTTAATAAAGACCTTAGCGAAGGAAGAGAGGCTCATTGTCCCATTGTTACCAGCGGATGTACTACGGGTTTCAGTCATCGTTCTTCACCCTCGTTCCAAGCGTGTGCTCCGTTCACGCTTCTTTCACGGGATTCTCCTAAAAGCGTCTTCTAACCCGGGACAAAAGTAGGATCGCTATTTTTCGTGTAATAAACCACACACTGTACAACCTCCGGTGTGCATTCCACACGTCCACTTGTGGCGAAGACACATCGCCACGGAAACCTTTTACATCATATATTTACGCCGCCCACGCGTTGACAATGCAATATTTTAGGACGTTACGGCGTGCGGTTGCGAATTCGTGGACAAGATTAATCTCGCAAAGCCTACCATAAACATCTGAAATTGAGAATAATACCGTGTCTTTACAATGATTACTGTATTCTATTTTATTGAAAATATTGCATCTGTATTTCTTCCGGTTCGATTTCTCGAAGGTTCTTGATCTTTCGAGATCGTCGGACTCGTTAGGACGATCAGAACGGGATACATTATACAAATACATTTTTACATTTAATACAAAAGTCAGACGTACGTGATAATTATACATATACATGAATTTTCAAAAATATGTACGTTCATTGTGTAAACTTTTTGAACAGAAGCGATATAGATATAAGTATAGAAGAATAAATGTGAAGAGTAACGCATAAATAAATAAAAAAAAGTAAATACAAAATAGATCTGACAAAATAAGTGCACCCAATATCATACAGGGTACAGCGTGAAGTATGCTATGTAAACGAATAGAAACTGATTTCTTATGCAGCTACACACGAAAAGTGTTAGAGAATATTTGTTCACCTAAAGTTTCGTTTTCCAGAAAATCGAGTTTAAAAATTCAGCGTGCATAGCTATCGCCGAAGAGATATTGGCTAACGTGTCTGTGCATAATTTACCGTTCCTCCTTCTTGTAAACATTAGACTTTGCAATAAATTTTGCCGCTTCGGCGACGTTTCGACG